GACGAGCCCGCAGGCTGAGAAAAGAGCAACGGGAAGACTACTGACCGTCCCCCGCGCCGAACCCGAGGGACTCAAGGAAGCAGGATGGGGCGACGGGCCGGGAGCAGTAGAGCCACCTGAGCAGCTGCGAGTCCCAAACCACCTCCGCCAGGCCGGAGGGCTGCAAGGTACTGCGGTTCCGCCCACACGGCCGAGATCCCCCCACCTTCCTCGGGACTCCTCCCACCTTTGGGGTCTCGGTAGGGAAGGTAGAGGGGCTGATGCAGGAGAATGAAGTCGCCGCCCCAAGCCTACCCGCCCAGCAGGACCGCGGACGCGCGAGAAGGAAGACACGTACCGCTCCGGCCGCAGCAAGTTCTTGCGGAGTTGGCCCCTCCAAGGGGGCTCCCGTCCCGCCCCACGCCGGTGGCCACGATAGGACTGGTTCTCCAGCTCTAGCCGGGTGGGGCCCCGGGTAGCTCCGAGAGTGATAGGACCCACTTTTACTCTTCCGCGCACTGGCCAACAGTTGTGACCTGGCTCCTTGTGAGGTGGCTCCCGGCGGCCGCGGCAAAGATGTGAGCGTAGCTTACAGTTGAGGTTTGAAAACTGCAGCCGCGTTGCGGGGCACTGCCTGGTGCTAGATCCCACCCCCGCCGTTAGTAGAGCCAATCCCAGCACGGTAGAGGGCGGACTGTCACGTGACAGAAGGGCGGGGCGCCGGCCGGCTGCTCGTGCTGCGGGGCGGGGCCCCAGTGGTGAGAGGGTGTGGCCCGAAGTGAGCCAGCGGGAGGCTGGGCGGAGCTACTGCAGGTGGGGCGCTGAGGTAATTGCTACCAGGCAGGGGTGGGGCGGGCGCTGCTGGGGCCGCGTGCCGGGCTGTAACTCGAACTGGCTGCACCACTCCCCACTTTCGGAATGGTCAATCCACAAGGTGTGAGTCTGTGTAGACTGGGGCGAGGGAAGAAGCAAAAGCGGTCTCAGCTGCTTCCCATTCATTCCCCAACTTCTGTTCCTACTAGAGACCTGTTTTTGACTCTTCCGAGTCACATTCCAGGTGACCAGAACCTACCCGCAAGTGGGGGAGAACAATTTGCTACAACTTGGCAAGCATCGACGTCGCTACAGCAAATTGAGTCTTTCTGAGGCATGGCTGAAGGCAGTATAGGACAGTCCCAATAGAATGAATTGCTGATTTTGTGTGTAGGGTGCTAACGGAAAAGACAAAAGCCCACAGTAGAATGAAAAGGTAGAAAGTTCTATGTAAGACACGGTTGAGCTTTTGTCTTGTTCTGTATAATCTAGGATTGGTTGCAGAGTATATTTAAAATAATTGTAGAAGACTATTGGAAAAATGCATTAAGAGGGGAATTGCTCTCTTTCAAAAGACTGTAACACACAACGTTTAAAGAGGAGCTTTCCTTGTTCTATCCCAAAAAGCCAAGCAAATTCCCATTAGGTCATCCATTTGCTGTTCCATACTGTATTTTTCACAATATGCATCAAATGCCACAGAGTCATTCGGTGACGACTGCTTGTGCTCACTTAAGCCACTCATTGCAGTTGGGTGTGTCTATTCCCTAAGCTTTGTCACTCGGAGAATATTGCTTCCATCTATCCAGTTTCTTGTTGCTAACTATTGGAGTGAAAAGAGAAGCCTAAAGTTAAGATGGAAACTGGAAAAACAACAACAACCACCGCATCCATAAATAGAGTTTTCAGTTACCATTATCTAAACATCCACAAACCAATGAGTCTGTTCCAGGAGAGGCAACCCAGAGGCCTCAGCACCAGCCCTGCAAACGGTGATCTCTAGGGATAACAGGGCTGTGTTCTGGTAGTGAGTTTTGTGTTGTGTATGCTTTTACTATGGACCTCCTCATTGACAATGCTAGTCAATCGCCAGCTCTTAGCAGTGTCTGCACAATCGGCCCTCCTCTCTGTCATTTTCCCAATCGCACATTACTTCACATTTCTCCATCACTTCTGTAAATCAACCCTTCTTGGGGTCATGAGCCCACCACTCTCCCCAGTCACCTTCCAGGAGGCTTTTCATGTCTCTTCCTGCCTCTGCCTTGGCTGCAGCTTTTCACCATCCTCCTCATCAGCACCTGTTCGTCAATTTTCAACTTTAAGAAGTTTCCATTCTCCAGAAATCAGAAATCTCTGCTGTTTTCTACTTTCCACTCCCAGCCTGATCACCTCTTCGCCCTGCATTCATAGGTGCAGAGCTCGCACTTGTTGCATGCGCTGCTCTTATGCCCATAAATAGATTGTTAGCCCTTGTACCTGACGTCAGATTCGCCAGCCAGGATTTAGCACACTATCCCAAGGGTACTCAACTACAATTGCTCAGGCTCAGGCACTGTAATTCAAGTAACAGGGAATTAATTCCTGGTGCTAAGGAGCAGACTTTACCATCTATGGCCTTGCAGTATGATTCAGGACTCAACACGCTCCTCTAGCCTAGCTCATTCACCTAAAATTATTCCTAGCCATTTCAAAGGTACATGTTCACAGTCGCATTCCTTTGAGTAGGAAGTCTCTGTGTGAGATAATGTTCATTCTGTGGTTATTGCCTCCGACCACACAGTTCATTAAGTTGATCCTTAAATGCCACATACTGACCAGGGATAAAGGTTGTAATGGACAGAATGTGTCCCCAATGAATTCATATGTTGAAGTCCCTAATACCCAGGACCTCAAATGTGACTGTATTTTTAGATATAGGGCCTTTAAAGAGGTAGTGAAGGTACAATGAGATTATACCGGTGGGCCCTTATTCAAGATGAAGAGATCACAACACAGATGACACAGGGTAAGAGACAACCCTGTGCAGACACAGTGAGAAGATGGTCATCGGCAAGCCAAGGAGAGAAGCCTCATGAGACACTCAGCCTGCCCATACCTTGCTCTTGGACTTTTTGCCTCCAGAACTCTGAGAAAATAAATTTCTATTCTTAGAAACTTCCAATCTGTGGTACAATATTTGTTTTGGTGGCCCTAGCAAACCAACACAGTGGTTCTCCCTGGTCATTTCAAGTGAATCACCATATGCGACCAGGGATGGCGATCTTTTCGGATCATGCCATGATATTCACCACATTCTGTCCAGGGAAAGTGACTCTTTCCAATCACGCCAGGTCAGTAACCACACACTGACCACATACCAGTCGGGGAAGGTGATGCTCCCTGATGGTACATTTACTCCCTATAGATGTAGAGAAGGTGAGTGGACTTTTATATAAAGAGGGCCCCATAATCAAAATGCCTGCCATTGGCACATGCTCCTTCTGAAAAAAAGTTATTTTTGTGTCAAAATTCTACAATTTAATCCATGTGGAAAGTATAAAACTAGCACTACTACTTTTCTGTAACTGAATAAACCAGAAACTTATGGCCAGGCCAAAAATAGCCAGACACAATGGGGGCCAACAGCCTCTGAAGGGGCTTGGCTCAAACACCCTCCAAACAGGGGTACACATGTGGAATGGAGACAGCTCGTCCAAACAGGTCCCCTTCCTGAAGGTGGGAGTGCTGGGTATACTCAGGTGGATGAGTCACAGTGCTTTTGTCCGTGGTGCTTATAGAACATCACGATTTGGGAAGCACGGAGGACCACAGAGCTCCCAGGAGACCTTGCATCCCCTGGTTCCCTTCAAACGAACCCTGTCAAAAAACTGTACTTGAAAAATAACTAAATAAAATTAAAACAAAAAAAAAGAACCTTGTTAGCAAAGGTGATTGGGACAGGTCTTTCCTGATGAGAGTAATGACTCAGACTGGGACAGATGGCTTCCTCCAAGAGTGACGTAATTCTTTTCTCCAAAGCTCCCATAAATTACTAGGACCTACAATGCCAATCAAACTACCTACCACAGTTTATAGAGTATAAACTTCCAAAGCCATCTGAAAGAAACATGATACAAGCCACATATCTCATTTTAGATGTTCTAATACAAAGTCACATTAGAAAATAAATACAGATTACATTAATTGTAATATATATTTAACCCAATGTATCCAAAATAGTGTCATTTCAATATGGAATCAATATGAAAATTAATGAGATATTTTAGATCCCCTTTTATACTGTCTTAAATATGGTGTATTTTACATTTACAACACATTCCAATTTAGATGCTAAATTTTTATCAAAACTACCTGATGTATTTTTAGATTGCACAAAATTTACCATTGATAAAAGGAGATTCATATTCCTATGTTATTTCAAACATAAAAGTTTTCAGTAACTGAATACAGTATCAGTTTCTTAATTTAAATGTAATTAAAATGAAATAAAGTTATAATTCAGTCACACTAACCACATTTCATGTGCTCTATAGCCACACATGGTTGGTGGCTGCTGTCCCGGACAGCGCTGTATGGGACAAAGAGCTACAAGTGTGTCTCCTAACTGCTTCTGAACCTCAGAATCATTCAGTGCTGAAGCAGACACAACATAGGTTCTCAGTAAATCAGCATCAGAGCAGTTTGGAACTTCCAAAATCTTCAAGGGTCAGTAGCCCACCTCCAATGATTTATAAAGGAGAAAATCTAGAATGACAGAAGTTAAAGGACTTGCAAAAGTTCACACAACTAAATTGCATATCGGAACAAGAATTTAGGTCTCCTGACTCTTGACCCGAAAGACATTCCACCTCATTGTGTCAGACATACTTCAGAAAAAAAGATAGACTTTAAAATGTATTTGAATAATCACTGAACGATATAGGCAAAGAAAAATGTATCATAATTGCATTTGCATAAGCTGATAGTGTGTCCTATAATATTTAAGGCCTCCAGCACGGTTTGGGTAGTTTGGGGTGTAGGCCATTTAATCTGCCGCTGTTACCTTGGCCCATCACTGCTTCCTTTCCTTAGAGCCCCCTCACTGCACATCCGTCCCACCAGACCCCAGAGCATCCGGCCACACTCTTCTGTCTGCAGCTGTTCTCACCCAGCTGTCTACAACAATTTGGTTAAGGTTGTGCTTCAGAGAATTCTTTATATTTGCAAATCAAAGACTTCAGGAGAATCTGCAGCAAAGTCATGCAACTGGTATCCTCCAGCCACAAACACACCAGCTCTGAGGTGGGAGCTGTGTGTGTGTGAGAGAGAGAGGATGTATGCGTGGTTAAGCGTGTGGCACTAAACAGGCCTGCATTCCCATCCCGGCTCTGCCCATTCCTAGTTGTGTGGCTGTGGGTAACCCTCAGTCTCCTCATCTGCAAAATGAGGAGAGGAATAATAGCTCCTTCCCTAAGACAAAAACGTGGTAATACATACAGATCACAGTGCCCGGTAAGAATACACTCTCAGTCTGTACAAGCTGTTGTTATTTTCCAGGGCTCTGCAAGCTTGCTGAGGAAGACTGCAGACATTTGGCTCCCGACTGCACCTTGTGACTAGCAAAATGCTTGTGACACAGTAAGTCCTAAGTGAATATTGTTCAAATGACTGTAGAAAATACTTATGATTTCCTTCAAACTGTTTGATGCTAGGAGCGATCATTGGGGGAAAATGTGGTGACGTGACTGGTAAAAAAAGAAAGAAGAGGCGGCTGCTTTCACCTTCCCGATCTACCTGGTGGAGGCACCCAGGTTCAGCATGAATGGTGGCGTGCAGAGCTGTGTTAGATAAAGACATTGGAGTCACTGGTGTTTAAAGGGAAGTAGGTTATCAAGTGAAACAAAAAAATAAATACAGGGTGTACAATTGCCATTTATTTGATTTTAGTTGATAAATGGTTATTACTATCCCCAACAAATCTCTGATATACTTCCTCTACCAACAGCATATTCCATAAACTGTGACCTGGTATCACATTCCAGAGCAGGCAAGAAACAGTAGAACTTTCAGGAATTCTTAAATATGTGAGTCTTCTTGCATCAGGCAGTAATAGGCATAGATAAGGCAGGGCTGACTTTAAACTCCTACAACTTCCTTGTTGGGAGTGTTCTTTGCTTCAACTGGCTTCAGGTGACAGTTTGAGTGTTGAGAAGGTCAACTACTCCACTGGCTGAGTCCTTTCATAATGTCAAAGTGCTGGTAACGTGGGAAATGATAATGTTAATGATGATCACAGCACCCGACACTGAGAATATTCAACATGTCCTCAAGTCTTTTTAGTAGTTAAACTTACTTTTAGATTTATAGAGTAGCATTTCATAGCTTCCCTTTTACAAAAAGATGTGGCTACAGAGCTGTTCAGAAACCCTTTAAAGGATACAGATCATGAGAGAATGGGCCTGTAAATTACTAGCTGTGAGACCTTGAGCAGGTAGTAATATCTCCATGCCTGTCTCTTCCATCTGTGAACTGGAAATAATAATAGATTTATCCCATAGGGTATAAAGTACCAAGAGCTCCTAAATACCCAGCCTGGTAATGTTCTTCTCCATGTGCTATTTGTGGTAACTCATTTAATCCCCACACTCCTATGAGTAAAGTGCTATATTTTCCTCCTTTAAAAATAAAAAACTTAAGAAACATGAAAGTAATGTATGTATGTACTTCCCCACAGTGAGCTAAGTTACTAGTGGAGGCAGGGTTCAAGCTCACCCACTACTACATGGCCTTTTGCTCCAGATATTTAATAACTGTAGGTACTAACAACAGAGCACAGGTTCTTGGGTGTTGAATTCACCTCAGTCCCCGGTGTCCCTGCTCTTTTCACCCACTTGTTTTCTCTCACACCTACCATCCCAAAAGTTCTTCACTGTTAAAGTAACTCTACAAATATATATGCCAAAGGAGGTGGTTGAATGCTCCGTGTGGCGGTGCATTAGAGTTAGAGGCATCGGGATGACCTAATGTTCAGCTTCATACAGATGCAGATGTTTACATATAGAGATATTTATAGATATACATGTGTACATAGGCCAACATCCACACAGCTCCTTGCTCTGTTAGCAGAGAGCACAGAAGCAATGGCACCGGAGGAGCAAGAAGCACACCCACTACGCAGGTCTTCGTTTCTAATACCATTCATTCTCCAGTAAATGGAACCAAGGTCCTTGGAGACATCGATGCTTCTAGAAATGGGGCAGGAAACATTCAGAATGGCCTGGAACATCGTGTTTTGCCACGAAGAAGGAAGTTCAAACAAAAAAGTCAACAAAATCTGTACTCAGTGTTGGGGGTATGTCAAAGGGACCTATGAGCCAACTGAAAGAGCTCTCAGCGGCCAAAGCTAGGACAGTTTGAGCAACCTGATAAATAAATAAAATAGTATTAGACTATGACCCAAAATAAATATCTACAAGTACACCTGATAGAAATAAATGATTGAATAAGCTCATGGGAAAGAACAGACAAATGTCCCATGCAGAATTGTGAATAATTAATGTAGATTCTCTGCCCTCAAGTTGGTGGAGCACAACTCCACACTCCTTAAGTGCAGGCTGGGCATAGTGACTTTTTTTCTGCCAAAGAGCATGGAAAAGGAGAAAGTATGGAAAGGGAGAAAGAAGAGTCCCTTTACAGGGAGTCGCTGACAGGCAGTACCTCAAGCCAGGTGGTGAAGACCAGCAGCAGCAGTCATCAGTCACTCGGCGCGTACCCTCAACGTGATGTGATGAGAAGACACTTCGGAGCTCTTCTCCCCAAACTCACGATCGCAGTTGGACTGTTAGAAGAACATCAGAAAAGTCCCGCCGAAGGACATACTGCAAAGTACCTCACTGAGCTCCTCCAAACTGTCGAGGTCATCGAAAACAAGGGAGACTGTCACGACCAACTGGAGCCTCAGGCGCGGTAATGACTGAATGTCATGTGGTGTCCTGGGTGGGACGCTGGGACACAGGAAAAAATGACATTAAACAAGAACTAAGGAAATATGGAATAAAGTATAAACTTCACTAACAATAATGAGTTAATATCTGTTCATTGATTATAGCAAACGTACTCTACTCATGTAAAAAACTACTATGGAACCTGCTTTTGTGCACTTTATGTACTAGCTTTGCCATGATTCTATAAACCCAAAACTGTTCTAAAATAAAAAGGTGGCTTTAAAAGTGAGTGAATCTGTCATAGCTTAAAAAATCCAACTTTAGGAAATTCGATCTTAAAATAATCTTTAAGATCAATCTTTAAAATCCATAAAATAACTGAAATACCATCTGACTATTATTTTTCAGCCTATTCAAAATCCTGTAATTTGATGCAGGCTCAATCCTGTCAACTTTGGAGCAAAATTCTCAAGCCTTGGCTAAAAATATGTGTGACAGGAATGCAGAAAGAGATCCAAAGAATTGTGTGTTTCAATATAATATCCATTATCTGATTCCAATCCCAATGTGAACCATTCATCTAGTAATTTCCAAACTGTGTTAGGGAGACCCCATTGCTTTTTAGGGAGTCCCCAAGGTGGAAATTATTTTTATAATAATGCTAAGTGGTATTTACCCTTTTCACTCTTACTCTCTCACCAGTGTGTATGATTCAGTTTTCCAGTGACTATAGAATGTGTCTCTGGCTGTGGATGCAACTGTGCCAGTCCAAATGCTTTCTATGAAGCCAGAAATTGGAGAAAAATATAAAGCAATACCACCCTTATCATTATTTTGTTTTGGATAATATAGCTATTTTTCATGAAGTGCATTACTTATGTTAACACGTCATTGTTATTATTGTTAAAATGTAGTTGTTATTTTAAATATTGTTTTACATTTTCTTTTACTTTATAATATGGTAAATATTAATAGATGTAACCTAAATAAAGACTCTTTGTGGTCCTTACCAATCTTTGAGCATAAAAATTTTGAGAGATTAAGAGCTGTTTTTCTAATTATAGTCACCAGTTTGCTCTTTGAGTTTTGGGACACTTGTCACTTTATGGCTACCTTGTACCTAATCCCCTCCCCTGTTTGGAGAAATCCTCACCTTTTGAGTCTTTGGAAGTGAAATTGACAAGCCTTCATGCTCCCAGCCTGCTCTGCAGCTGGGGCAGGAGCAGTTGCCTTAAGTTCAGTTAAACATCTCTGTACACTCAAGCCACAGAATCTGGAACAAGTGGGGCCAGGCCAGGAGCAACTCTATGATGGAAGCCAGTGCGGCAGGGAGATAGGGCCCTGGACACAGTAGCTACAGTGACAGCTTCTTTGTCCACTGTTAGGCTGTCAGCAATACTAACTAAACATAGATATTTGTATTTCGGCAGTAGTGACGTCTGTATCTGAACAGTTCAGGGATGTGACTTTGGATGTTGTTCCTGGTTCTCTTGTCCTGATGCTGCTTCTCCAGTGTGATCTCTACTCTATGAACTACAGAGTAGCCTTTAAATACATCCCTTTCAGCTTCGGTCATCCAGAGATGTGTAATTGCTTACAACTAATAACTATGATCCTACCCAAAAGTGGCTTCTTAATTCACTTCTGTAGTTTGTGTTTATATATATATATACCTTAATCTCTTTTAACATCAACTTTTCTGAAATTCCACGAATAAACCATGGTTAATTAAAGGAAAGAAAAAACAAAATAAATTTACCTTTTCCTTTACTGGTATGAGAAATAAACAACTACATAAATAAATGAAAATGTTAAATGAAAAGATGGAGAAAAAATGTTGCCCTTCCACTCTAGCTATAAACTTTTACTTAAATTTTAGAGTTGTGATCTAACATTCAACCAGCAGTGTATAAGATTGTCATATATTATTTCCCAGTTACGCAGTTTCTATAAAGCAGGCAAGAGACTCTGAAGAGATGACTGACGGTTCCATGCTGTGTGCTTAGTTCATTATCAATCATTTCAAGGAACTCCAGCCTCTCTGAGCCAATCAAAACAGAAATGTCCCAACACATTAGAGAGGATCTTGTTTTATAGAGTGCTTACGAAAGGCATGAAAACACACTGGATTTCAAATGTACCACATTATCCAGAAAGGATTTTGGAATGGATTCCTATTAGATTACTTTTTGTTGTTAAATGTGATATATAAAATATGATGTTTTTCTGTTTGAGCTCAGCCTGGAATGGTTCTGCCTTCTACAATTTTGCAAACATATTTTAAAATATTTTTATTCTGGTCAGTTTCTAGCTAGACTTCAAAAATGAAAAATCTGTGGGCTAGTTAGGCCCTCCAGATCTTTCCATTTCATGCTAACTCAGAATACTAGGGATTTAAATTAATTTTGTCTAAAAAAAGCATCTTCTGCAATGGAAATACTTCCTCAGAGTAAGGATCCTTTAAAGTAATGTCTTGAAATAATTTAAAGACAAGATAAGAGGGAAGCACCCCCTTGCTTTTCCCTCTCGTGCTCTTTGAGTGTCCAGGTTTGAGTTTAGGGGTTCCTGGATCTGGATTCTGATATTTCAACAGTTAACTTCTCAGAGGAAAGGTTCGTTTATAGTTGAGGTCAATAGGAAAGCATGAAGCAGCACACCCCGACTTGAGGACTGGTTGAAAATATGAAAATTAGGCACATCTAACGGCCAAAGATAGCCTCTTTCTTACAGGCCTAAATTGGGGGTGCATCTTTTTAAATACGAGGTTTTGGAGCACTTTGCAGATTATTATCTTAGTGACTTAAGAGAATCTGCATTAGCATAAAGTCATTTGTCTTTATTTCTTCCTGTCTCTCACCCTGGGTGTTTGTCTTTTTCTGTACTTGCTAAGAACAGGAAATAGCAGAATGAAGATCTGATCAGTTTCCATTACTTCAGTGAGTCTCACTCGGTTGAACATAGGCCAGCAGCACATTTATATTTGCCTACATAAATTATGCAGCTTATCAGAATACACTACTTTGTGCAGTTTTTAATTATCTTTTAATCTTCCAGGCCTTGGGGTCTTCACACTATTAAACCTATCTTTGAGAAGGTTGCTCTTTCAAAGTAAAAATAGGCAGTACCTTTGAGATGCTTTCGGTTACTCATTGACCTAAAAAAAATTAAATCCCCCTTCTAGTAGTTCAGAAATGAGCAGGTCTAAAAAATCTTTTAGGCCAGCCACGCATGCTGAATGTGGCTCAGGATGTACCAATAAAAAGAGCGCCTGGAGTCTCCACAGCATTCTAGTTAATATAGTGCTTTCACAAGCAACAGTTTATCTGAGCTTCATCAATCCTGAGATTACTGTAAGCAAGGCTGAAATCATCCTGTTTTACAAATGAGAAAAGAGACTCCAGGAGTGACTTTCCCAATTGAGATCAGGGCTCAGTCTAGAACTGAAGATTGTAGACCCTTCTTCACTACCACCTCCCCTTAAGAGAGGGGACTCTCCAGAGAGCAAAGTTATCAGACCTGCTTTCTCTCCTCTCCCAACCCTCACCCTTTTTTCTGAAAGATTATAGGAGGCCCTATGATAGAGCAACTGTAGACAATGGGGAGGATAGGAGGAGGTGATTTTTCGGGATGTCCCAAAGGCCGGACGGCAGGCCTGGCTGAGCCCCATGGCTCTCTTACCTACCTACAGGTGTTTGCAGACCCAGGAGCCCTGACACCAGCCCAAAACTCTGTTCCCATCTCGCCAGCTGGGGAGGCCATGCTCACTCCCTACGGCTGCCCTGAATTGCCTGAGGCAGTTTTGGGTGGGGAATTAAGAAAATCAAAAAGGATTGTGCATGTAAAGTAATAAGATTTTCCACAGAACTAAGAATTCCAAACCAATAGCCAAGGTTACAGGAAGATATTTAAGAAAAAGGAGCAGCCCTGACTGGTGTGGATCAGCGGGTGGGGTGTCATCCTACAAACTGAGAGGTTGCAGTTTCAATTCCTGGTCAGGGCTCCTTTGATTTTCTGTCAGAGCTCATGCCTGTTGCAGGCCAGGTTGCAGGCCAGGTCCCCAGCTAGGGGCATGTGAGAGGCAACCAATCAGTGTATTTCTCATGCATGGATGTTTCTCTCCCTCAGTTCCTCCCTCCCTTCCCTGCTCTCTAAAAGTAAATAAATAAAATCTGTTTTTTTTTTTAAAGGAAGAAACACAACCTTGACATAGTCAATACTATTCCTGTTTCTCAGATGAGGAAACTCAGGCTCAGAGAATTTGAATGACCTGCTTGAGGTCACACAGCTAAAAGTGGAGAAGAATTTGAACTCAGACAACAAATCACACGCCTGTTTCAGGAGACTGCACTACATCCTAAGTAATAGGCTACCTGTTCTCGTTTTTTAAAAATTTCCCTTTATGTCCCATCTGCATAACTTATTACACAAACATGCTTCTATTACTGTGGTGGAAAACAGCTTATCTGGTGGTCTCAGTTCTAAGGAACAGGAAGTGGGCAAAAAACTTCTAAGAAGCAGAATGGGTGTTACAACGAGTGTTCATATGTGAGACGATTCTCTCTGGCACTGATTATGTCTTTTATGTACACTCTGTAATTACTCTGGATGTTATAAGACTTCAATGACAGGATACTGCAGGAACTTTCCCTCTGATCTTCCAAGGACTGGCTACTCTTCCGCCTTCAGTTCTCACCTTAAATGCCGCATCCTCTGACAGGCTTTCCCTCACTGCTCCCTGTCCTTCACTTGGCATCACAGTTAATAATTATGGATTTATTTGTTTGCTGCCTGTCTTT